TACATATTTAAAAAACTTCAACATTTTGATTCAGTCGTGATGGAAACGCTAATAAATAATATTATAGAAATTAATTTAACGTCCGTAAAGATTACTTCTAAGATGTTAATTTTATATTTTTTATTCCTTTTGATGAACGCTATAAGTCTAACAATAAATATCGAGCCTCTTTTCTCTTTATCATTGTGTTATTCGAAACATTTTGAAATTTCATAGCACTGCAACGAGATACGATTGTTACAATTATTAGTATGATAATTTGAAACAAAACTGAAAGCATAAATGATTCGTATTGTGAACATATATTTCATAGATATTACAAAGTATTTAAACAGCTAATTATTCCTTATATACTAATGAATCGTAATATTTAATGGAGTCGTTTTTAGTACTAATTATACGTTCAAAAGCATTCTTGTAGTATATTAATTTTTTGGTAATTATGAAAGTACTTTCAGATTGACTTTTAATCAATAAAATCATTATAGGCTTACTTTGCCATAGTGCCAATGAAATTTTAAAAAAGTACGTGAAATATGTTCCATATATTCGTGAAAATTATGTCTACAACGAATATTCAAATCATCAAAGTCGAAGCATAACTAGATATGCAGAAAATTATTACGATATTCACACATGTTGCATTGCAAGAAGATATATCTAATTATACCACGAAGCACTGAAGAGTTATTTTTGTAGAACTGGTTTGACTTTGTTTTTTCTCTGGAAAGTCAAAGAATTTTACAAAAGTCATTTTACGAATACCACTTTTTCTCTCTTAACGATGCATTTTTATTATTTTATCTTACAGAAAAGTGTAAGATTATTTGATTCTGTAGAATATATTGGTACAAGCCAAGGTAATTCCTCGAGTCGGTTGATAATTTTCGAGCAATCTACATTTGAAATGAATATGCTATTTGATTCGTTGTTAGTGGCGTGATAAACAGTAAAATACATACATTGAGATCTCGACAACGAAAATGCAAATAGTTGCGAGGTTATTTCATGGCTGTAATTATCACAAGTTAGCATATTAAATAAGCATGTGCGTATTATTACTTGGTTTTTTGTTTATTTTACTAGTTTTTATATATATGTTACCTCGTTAACTGAAATAACTTTAACTATAGAATTATTTGAGTTATTTTGCTCGTTTCTAATATTATTTCTTGCTAAATTTAAAAAAAAAACACGGTATTTTCTCATTTCTCGTTATCAACGTTCCAAAAAGAATAATTTAAAAGTAATTTTATTATATCTCGTCAAATCTTTACAATTAATTTAATAAATATTTTTTCAGAACTCCTAGCTTGGGGTTATTCCGTGCATGCTTGAAGGTTGAATTTTACGATGCTTTAAAACGATCAATCATTCAAAAAACGTAACTGACTGAATAACCACACCTTATCTCACGTGAGTAATATTCTGTCCACATTTACGATGAAATCTGATAATTGCCAGTAGAACATTTCACAGTAACGTTATCACAGTGACATTACGTACCTACGAAATTATCGCTAACATTCAACAATAGTGTTTAGCAACGTATCGGAAGAAGGACACGTTGCTAATACTTCTCAGTCCCGCCTAATCTAATCTCTTAGGAATTTTTTCACGAGCCTTCCCACTGACTTCGTCATCCTCAAGTATATATTTCGCTCGTTTCGCCAGTCCCTTCTCCCTCGCCGTGTCTAATAATAATTTCGTTGCTAATCGTCGCGTCATTTTGAAGAAGATTGTTCGAATGCCGGGCGGGATATTGAAGGAGCTGGACCGGAATATCCGGCGAATTAGAGGTGCCAGGGCCTGGCCCGGGTCGCGCGTTTTAATTAATCCATCGCGTCGTCGTTGTCGTCATTGTCGTACTTTTTCACGTCCCGTCTCGCGGATGCTGCGCCGCGTTTAAGGACATTATTTCCCTTGCAGCGCAGTTTATCCCGGGCGCAGAGTAAATCCTGCAGGCGACGCGACGCTTTTCTCGACGCGTCACGTGTAAAACGTTGTTTAACCTATCGCGCGGAAGGCAAACGGCCCGGAAGGCACGACAAGGAGGGCAAAATCGTCTTTCGTGCTCGTTTCATTTTGAAAGAAGAAGAGAAAAGAAAGCGCCGTTTCGAGAACGTGCGTTTGTTGCTTCTCTTATTCCTTGCTCTATCGCTTCGCAATCGGAAGAACGAGCAACTGTGTTAAAACCAAGCTGTTGGCGAGTTCCTCCGGGAAAATCCGGTCGCGACTGTTTACAGTTTCGTCCAAATCTCAAACTGATGCCCCTTGATCGAGAGTGGCCATTTCGAACAATCCTCTACGATCGAGCACGTGGAAAGATTTACGTCGAGCAACGTTCTGTTACGGCTACGAGTCGAGAAAATTTCTGAAAGGCCGCTACATTTCCTCCCACTCCCCTTCTCTTCCTTCCTCGTGCGTAAAAATAACCCTTGCGCGACGCTCGAGAACTTTGAGAAACGTACAACGACGAATTTGTTCGTAGTTTTTTTTTTTTTCTTTTTTTTTTACAATCGAAGGCGGCCAACTGAAGCCTCCTGTTTTTCTTTTAAATTGTCCAAGGCGTTCACGAGGAGACGTTCGCATTATCTACGTACGTGCATATATCGCGAGACACGTGCACGCGATCGGCAATCGATCCGGCCTGTTTGCTCGTGATACGGGCCGCGAATTCACCGGCGTCCGGGTGAATTACGCCGCGTTGCTATAATTTGCAGGCGCACTGTGGCGATGTCACCGACGATTGTCGCAATATTATTACAGCGGCTGGTTAACACGGTGTATAAATACGGCGCGTCCGTTGCGACGAGTGTTCAATTTGCTGAATTAATTACGATCGGCAGCGGTGCTGATGTGAAGAAGCGAGAAGTGTTTTGCAAGAGGAGCGAACTCGCGTTTCTTTTCTTTAACGACGTACGGCACGGCCGTGTCGTAAACGCAACAACGCGAAAAGGAATGTTTCAGCAGACGATTCGCTATTTAGTTCGATTTCCTTTCTCTGAATGTTTAATAAATTTAAGAAATTTGAACTTTTATTTAGCAAATTTAATAAATTTGCAACGATTTGCAACGAGTTACTGACAGAATTTACGTGGTAAACCTAATTATTTTATGCAAATAGTGAGACCACCTTTGGCATTAATTACTTATCGCCATCTAATGCTTTTTTCCTTGCTATGAAACTTATATATTTCCATTAAAATTGAATTAAATTTTTAAAATTTTTGAAATTTTAAATTTTTGACGTTTCCTTTGACGTTATTTCAGAATTTTTCCTCCTATCGCAGAGTGTCCGAGTATTGAAAGAAATGACCGACTCTTCGTAAAAGAATAAATCGAAGAGTAAAACTTTTTTTTTTTTATTTAAAATGTCACTTTAAAATAGGAAATGAGGTTTGGAAATATATAGTGAAAATTTATATCAAATATTAAATTTAACTCGATTTAACTTCCTTTAAAGTAATTCTACATGTTTGACTTATTTTCACAAGTAATCTGCCGTTCGTTTCTGACTTTTATTCCAGTCTTCTGACCAGTTCAGAATGAACTAAATTTAATTCTTTTTTCAAAAAGCCTTAAACGAAAAAACTTTATTCTTTCCTTTCGCGACTTGTTTGTAGAATCATCTCTTCTTTAATCTTTACACTCTGTACAGAAAAAAAAGCTCTTTGAAAGTATGTTTTAGAACATTCCTTAAGAATCCTTTATTAACCCTTTGTGGCACATAATTTCACAATAAACCTACTAGGATAAATTCATCGTTCACTGTATGAAAAACCAGATTAAAAGGAATTTGACCGTAAACAAATTTCACATCGTTATTTCAAAAATCAATAACAGTCAAATAAAACACGGTTCAGTATTGAATGACAAATGGAAAAGAAGATGGTTACGTCACGCATTGCGACGGGATAATATCAAAAAGAGAGACAGAGAGAGAGAGAGAGAGAGAGAGAGAGAGAGAGAGAGAGAGAGAGAGAAAAGAAACATTCACACGATAAAGAAAAAAAAAAAGTGTTACTCGCAACGGTATATTAAGATCGATTTCACGAATCACCTTGAAACATTCAAAACGATCCCAATCTCTGAAATCGCTCTGACGGTCGCGAGCGGCCGCCAATTTCCACCAAAGCCGCAAATCACCGTTAATACGAGTCCAAGTGGCCGCGACGGAACCTCGAGCAACGCAACGTCGCGCGGAAAATCGAAAAGTCGCGGGAAATTCGGGAACGAGAGAGACAGAGAGAGAGAGAGAGAGAGAGAGAGAGAGAGAGAGAGAGAGAGAGAGAGAGAGAGAGAGAGAGAGAGAGAGAGAGAGAGAGAGAGAGAGAGAGAGGGTGACACGGAGGATCGGAAGTGAAGAAAGGATGGAACGAAACGCATCCGTATAAAGCAGCTCGACGGATCGCCGAATGGTGGAAAGGGTGGTGGTGACGGTAGAAACAGAGAAGGGAGTAGAAAGAGAAAGAGAGAGAGAGAGAGCGTGAGCGCGCGCGCGCACGAGAGAGAGTGAGAGAGAGAGGAAAGGCAGTCAGGAGATACGGGGGGCAAAAGCAGTGAGGGTAGTTCGGCCGGCCGGCCAGTCGTGCTGTGGCGGCAACCCACGACGCGTAGTCGTTTCACGTTCCTCCTCGCCCGTCATGTTGCCAAACAGCATCCCTCTCGACAGCCACCCTTTCGACACCTCGAGCACCGATACACGGGACGGATGAGGTGAAAGCACCAGAGGTGAAAGAAAGGCCAGAGGTGGTTGAAAGTCGGTGTAGTCTAAGAGAGACAGGAGGAGGCGACGATGCGTACGGATCGTTCGGATCTCGTACGTGTCTTCCAGTGTCCCGGCCTCCACGCCTATCAGCTGGTATAATCCGTCGAGTTAGTGGGATCGTCCTGGTTCCGTTTGTTCGGTGACGCGTCGCAGAGTGATCCACAGCAAGGGGGCGGTGGGAGGGGGGAGGGAGGGAGGGAGGGAGGGAAAGACGAAGGGACTCGCGTTCGGTTGCTCCAAGATATTTCCTCTGTCTCCTCGTTGGCAGGTAAACAAAAGGAGAATTCGAAAGGAGGGGGACTCTATCGAGTCGTTCGGTGGTGGATCGAGTCTCTGGTACACGTGTGCCAGCAGGGGGGTTGGTTTGCCGATCGATCGCCGGGGGTACAAGTGGTTCCTTGGCTGAAAGCTGCGGAACGTGTTGTTCGCGCGTGAACGAACGAATTGACGCTGGCTGATCCTTGGTTGATCGCTGGATGACGAGATTCCCTCTGGCTCGTTCGGGGAGACCGCCCCGGACATCTGAGGATCAACCTTCGAGAGGTGGTGAGTAGCAGGGGGCGGGGAGGGGGAGGGGGGGAGGGGAGGGAAACGGACCTCGCAAGGTCCGTCAAGGACGAAACGTTTGATCGCCGGCGAGGCTGATCCTTGCCGCCTGCCTCGGATAATCGTCATCAAACGCGAACGATTTGCACGGTCGCGATTAACGAGAACCTTTGGCATTCTTTCTTTGTTTCTAACGCTGCGACGAGAGAAAAGAGATCCGATCGATCAACGATCGATTGGCGCCGAATTTTTCCCCAAAGGCCAATGATCGTCGGTGATTCAACTCGATTCTCTCGTGGCTGATCCACTTTGCCAAGTATCGTCGTATCGCGTTACGATTTAGGGGTGGTAAACAGCCGTCGGCTAGTCTCGCCGGGAATGTATTATCGATTCGATACGCATCATATTTGCACGCGGCGGCGGCGGTCCGGGGCTAATTATTTCCCAACGGCGGCAGCGGCCGGGTTGTCATCGGCTGCGTGTTGCCAGCGTTTCTTTCCGCGTCGCGGAATGAATGAAATTGAAGAGAGATCGTTATTTAGGTCAGCCGGCAATTTTCGTACCCGGGGCTTTTAAGCGTTCGTCTAAAGGGTTTTCAGACGCGGACCCGAGTTGAAAGAGAGGAGGAGGCTCGCGCGATAACGCTAACCTGCGCTAAAAGACCCGTGAACCACCGCCGCGGATTTCTTCTTCTTCTTCTTCTTCCTCTTCTTCTTTTTTTCTCCATTTTTTTCCTCTTTTTTTTTTTCGTTATTTCCCTTCCTCCTTTTTTTCCCTCTCAGTCTCTTTTGCCCGCGCGTTGGAACTCTAGGAAACTCGACCTCTTGGGGCCGCGGGTTTTCAAACCACTTCTTTCTTTCGCCACCACGGCTCGACACAGAGATCCTTTGAGGGTGGGCGTAAGCGGTGATTGCTCCTCGAATCGAGCCGCCCGAAGTCGATTCTCCAAAGCTCTCTCCTAGACTGGAACGGGAAAAAAGGCTCCGGGAAGAGGATCGGTCGGACAGACACCTTTTCACTTATATTACCGGTGGATATATTCCGTTTAATTAATTCAACAACTGTCGGATCGGTGAAAACGATCTGGCTGGAATCTCATGTATCTGTTTCACGATTCGCGGTATGCTGCTCGTTTTTTTCTTCTTCTGCTGGCGACAATGGCAATGCTCGTAACAACGTGTCAATATTAATATCTTTGTCAATAAACACTGAGGTGTTGATCCTACAATAACTGTATTTATTCATAATTCCTCCGGCTACTGTGTCCTTAATGAAAACGATTGAAAAGCGAGTGTTTGCTCCTCTAAAATAAAAGTTCTCAAACATGGCAATTCCAATTATCACGTCAGACTCGAGTTTTCGAACAGCGTGACCTCCAGTGGCAAATACATAACGAAGAACTATCGTTTCTTTCTTTTTTTTTT